GGGAAACACTGTACACACACACATCAATTTCAAACAGATGGTATCGGTATTTGCCAATGCTGCACAGCCAGGTATCGGGTATCGGGCCAAAAAATGGCATCTGCGCAACACTAGTTGTAACTATTCAGCACGTTGATGAGCTGTTTGTTTTTGTTTTTTTGTTCACAGGTACTGTTTTCCGCCCTTATGCGGCAGAGTGATTGTCATAATTGACATCAAGATCTGAAATTGCACCAGGATGTCTTCAAATAGCCTAACAACACACATGCATATTTTTTTCTAGCTTAAGAATCTTTGATTCACGGCACAACCGTACAATATCCAAACTACTTCTTCTTCAGTACGTTACCGACTATTTCTCATAGCAGGAGGCTCGGTGATGTTAGTGACTCTGTTGCATTTCAGCTACAAAATTTAAAAATTTCACACAACTTAATGTTCAAAAACCTGAACTATTGCTTTAAGCAGAACTGCACGTATTATTATTTAGTATGCATGTGCACGTTTTGCACAATTCTGAGTTCATACTTCCCTGGCCATAATGTTGATGACCGATTTCAACTTATCCTTCCTGATTTGGGATAAAGAAAGGGAAAAAGGTCTTGGGTGCTTCGGTGGCACAGTGGTTAGCGTGCATGACCCATGTATGGAGCCCTAAGTCCTCGACATGGCCGACGCTGGGTCGAATCCGACCTGTGGTCTTTTTCCGCATGTGTATGTCCCTATCTTGTACCCCCTTTCCTGTACAAAAAAAAAAAAAACTAGTCATTAGTGCTGGGCTTGCACAGTGGTGCAGTTGATAACACTGTTGCCTTACAGCATGAAGGTTCCGGGTTTGATTCCCGGCCCAGGGTCTTCCTGCAAGGAGCATGCATGTTCTCTCTGTGCATGTGTTGGTTTTTTTCCGGGTACCCTGGGTTCCTTTGACAGTTCAAAAACATGACTGTTAGGTTAATTTCTTCTTATGGCCAGGGGAACCAATTGAATAATAGAATTTAAGAAGAAGCTTTAGACCAAAAGGATGCCTCAAAGGAAAGATGGATGGAAGAGGATCCCCGACCTGAAAACAAAAAAAAAACTGTAGCTGCATTGTTTGAGTTTCTTCAGCTCCTGAGTGTACAAGAGCATCTCTTCCTCTTGTACTGGAGTAAATGGCAGATGGCCGAGAGTCTAGCTAAGAGTCTGATTGTGCTTCTTTTCCTGTTCTTTTCCTGTTTAGCCATAGGGCTTCAAATATATCCATAACAGTTTATGCAAGACACGTTTTGTTCCAATGAAAGGTCAGAGGTAGAAGCAGAGAAGTCTTATGAAAATGTTATCGTAAGCCTGGGTGACAGTGGGGGCCTGTTTCAAGATAAATGAGACTTGAATGAGTCAGATGATGTCTCATAGGAATGCATCATGTGCTTTGAACAGAGATGATTCTGTGAGCTTGTTGCGTACATGCTGGCTATCTTACCTACAGTAACCCTGAAAGTGGGTGAAAATAGAAGATAGGTTCAGGTTGATTTTTCTGAAATGATGACCATGTTTCTACAGAGTCGATGACAACTAGGGGGTTTACAGTGTGGTACTAATGACTAATCATATTCTATATAACTTTGTTTGCCAACTTTCTAAAGAATTATCGCCTCATGCTTATAATTTTGATTTATCGTAATATTCTCTGTTATGAATGCATTTTTTGTTTGGAAAAACTGTGGAAAAATTCAAGTTTAGATGCCTGCAAATGGGGTACACAGATTGAACACATGAATTGCTCTTGCAAATTCATGTTCTGTCAGCATGAATACCATTTTTTTCTTTACCATCTTTTTTTAATTATTATAATTAATGTTGTTCCTTAAGTTCCCTGTTATATTTTTTTCTTTTTTAATCATCTTAATTTTTTTCTTACATATTGATTTAATTAATAACGTGGTCTAAGTCCAGGTCACAACATGGACTTTCAACATGCATCAGTAAAAGCACATGTTAACCAATGGTCTTTTTATTTTGGTTATTTTGTTTTTGTTTTTTACATGCAGTTTTACCAAAAGCTAACACCAGTGGGGTTAAAACTCTTTGCACGGTGGGCCAAAATGGGTAAGTTGTACGCACCCAAGGTCCATAAATCAAATGAGAAAAAAAGCTATATATGGTAGGTTTCAAAGAGTCTCAGATGTCTGCTTTAGTTGTTCATGGCTGTATGGTTCCTTAAATGTTTGGATCAATGATTTATTTCTTTATGATTTTTTATTTTATTTTTGGCAATAACATTGCGAATATTCTTTTGTAAATATTTGCTGTATTTCATAGGACTGTAACAATCCCATTAATCGTGGTTAATCGATTATTGAAAAAAAAATCATAAACTGATTTAGTAATGGATTCATTGTTGACTAGAGTAAAGAGAATTTGCAGCCATGGAAACATGACTTGAGCTGAAAGAACAACCCACTTAGACCAAAATTGTAAAAAAAAAAAAAGTTTAATATTTTTGCATTTAAAATAAAATAAAAGCACTATAATGCAAGTGGAAAAATTTGTTTTACCTTGAAGGATCTCCTGTAGCGGACTATCTTACCGTAGATTCTGACTGAAGACTCTGGTTGTACGACAGTCTAAAAAAGAGGATGCTGACGGTTATCCATAATGTTCTTAATTACATGAATTTATCTTTGTACAATAATCCAGAGGTTTTAGAAGAGGCGCCTGAACACAGGCAACATTTTTTATGAGCTTTATTTTCTTTAAGCAATTTGCTCTGATGCTGTTAATCACCCTCTCTCCACCATACTTAGAGAAGATATTCAGCATCTTGCTGCTCTGTCCCTTTTCGTGTTGTCACAATATAAAAAAAACTGCTAATTCTATATCAGTACTAAGGAAAGTTTTGTACACTTGATACAAAATCATAGGGATAAAAAATGACAAATGATTAAAGGCATGAAAAATATTTTTGTTAACATGAAAAATCTTTTTTTAAATCTGGATTTAGAATCAAAGATTACTGAATAATAAATACAAAAATTATCGTCCCACATATTTGATAATATTTTAAGGATATCTGATTTGTTACAGTTTAATGTAGAAATATTCCAGTAATATTAAATGAAACAATAAAACAAAATCTAATAACCGCAAATAGATGGCTTCACAGTTACGTTTCCTGTCCTGTCTGCTGTTTATATAAAGGCTGAGCTGTTTATACTCCTTCAACACCTCACTTCCTTTGGGTTTAACTTATTTCTATTACTCCTGAAATCTGCAGTCATCTAAGTTGGTGTTTTTTTTTCAGCAAGTCATAGATGCACAGAGTAAAACAGGTAATTGTACTGTCTCCCTATAGCACTCTATGCACAACTGTTTAATCTCACAAATGGCCCCCTAGGCCACACTTTGAACACACCTCACTCTCTCATTTTCCTACCGCGGTTCATCTTCTACTCTTTTAGTGGCACAAAACAACTTGCTCTTTCTGACATGAGACAAGTACTATTCCAAAAAAAAAAAAAAGAGAAATCATTGCAATTGGTTTTACTTCATAGCCCAGGCAAGAGGTAGAGATGATTTTCCTGTAAGTGCAAGAAAAATGTGCTGAGATCCAGGAATGTATGGAAAGAGACCTGGAGGAAAAGGCCTTTATTACTTCATAACGGTTTCTGATCCCCAAAATATAACTGTTGCTTCTCAAACGTCTGAAAAATATAGTGGTTAAGAAAAGAAGCATGTAAGTTAAAACGTATGTGTTCATAAAGTATGAATTATATTTGCAATGTGACGATCGTCCAAGTAAAAACTTTGACAAAGGCAGCTTATATTGGGCTGCCTTTCTGCTACTCTTAATTTGCATGAAGCTACTTTGTAGAAAAATGCAGAATGTTTGTTTTTTTCTTGTTTATTGCAAGTTCTTCAAAGCAAAATGCTTTCAAAGACATTGAGAAGAATGACTGGCATTTTTCAGAGATTTAACCATTTGATTAGGCTTCATGTCATCAAACCATCTCTTATCATCTTAAGCCGCTGTCACACCCTGACGATTTAACCAGCATATGCCTAGTGTATGAAAACTCTGGTTTTGGATAAGCTATACATCACGACTTATGAGTAAATTACACTAACATATTTTTGCCAAAGAGTAACTTGTGCATAACTTATGCGTAACTTATGCATAACTTATCAAGATCTCCAACGCATATCAACCTTTTTGACGTGTTCCAGATGACCACTGAATGTGTTTCTAACTTACAGCTACTGTTTAATGGCGTGCTGGCAGCGTTTTGATATAAAAGGGGGTTCACAGGAGGAAACCGTCAGTTCTCCTCCAGACTTCATCACCATCATAGGGTGAGCGTGAAGGAGAGTGTGATGGATCCTCCCTGCGTTCACACCCACAGGCACAACCAACAAACCTAGCAGTCATGATGCTGAGTCTAAAAGCAGCTAGGTTAATACTGTGATCAAAGACATCTTTTCATGCAGGCTGGGCGCCTCTGGGTGCATTGCTGCCCCCCTCAGGAGACTGGCTTGTGCATTATTTCATGCACACTGCCGCTGCCGTGCGTCCTTGGAAATAAGTTCTGGACTCGTTATAAATATGCTATGTATACGCCCAAGATTGAAAAAAAATTCATAGAGTTTAGCGTACTGTATGCCACAGTTTTAGAAGATTCTGGGGCGTCAGGCATAACCTGGCTAAATCGGCATGGTTTGGCACGGACTTTACATCATCTTTCCAGCATTTTTTTTTTTGGCTACCCTGTCAGGTTTCAGTCTGAGGCCAACGGTGTAGTTTTTGGATTTCCTCTTATTGGACTGAATTTCAAGAGATCAAATGGAGCTCAACATGGCTTAACTTGTGTTTCATGTCAGTCGGGTTAAACAAAGCTCAATTTCCAGTAGCTTTACCTTGGAAAAATCCGGAACTTCTCCAGTCAGTTCTTTGTGTGCTTTTTTTGAGGTTTCACCCATAAGCTTCCTTTAAATCTGCATGTTGCTTTCTCGTTTGTTGTGTCCAGGTGAGCTGTTCTCCAGCCAATAATGAAACCTATCAGGAACGACTGCTTCGACTAGAAGGAGACAAGGAATCTCTGGTTTTACAGGTCAGAGCTGAATATTCTGTCATTTCAAATGTTTGTGAATCTATATAAAGCATTTTACCTCTGATGTTTATTATTTTAATGCTTATTCGGGTCCAATTATGTCTCCCCGGCAGGGTTTAGCCCAACTTTAAAAACAGACTCAGCTTACATGGTCTGCGTTTAAGGATCTTAAGTTGTTTTGGCTTATTTCATGACAAATCATGCCCAGACACTTTCTCATCCTCCTGTGAAAACTGACAACTTCCACAACAACTTTAATGTCAAGACTGTAAAACTTAAGCATGATAATTATAGGACTTGGAGCTCTGTGTTGTCAACAGGTTCCCTATGTGCTCAGATCAGCCTAATAGCTGGTTCAGGCAGCTGGGATCTCCACAGTCTGTCTTTAAATTCTTTATATTTAATTTGCTGTTATCAGACTCTTGCTGCCTGGTTCCCGTCTGTTTTTTTCTTTTTTCTCTCCGGTGCACACGCTCAGCTGAACGACCCCAGCTCACTAAGTTATCATAAAGTCCGTATCTCGTTCCTTGCCGCCACCTCTCCCCCACATGCACACCTACTTGTTACACATTCCTCATCTGACATCAGCTCTGATTGGCTGATAACCAGGATGACCGGGACTTCTGTTTCTTTCAGGGAGGATTTAATTGGTTGTTGACAGTTTCTCTCTCTTGTGGGTTTCCGCTTTACTTTCTCCTTACCTGCTTCTACTTCTGGACTGCATATATGAAGCATTGCTCTGCTTCAGCTTTTATTCCTCTTTTATTGAACGGATAAGACCTCTGTGGTTGGTATAAAACGACCACGTTGTTCAATAAGGAACTGTTTTCCTTAGTTCTCACCAGAGGTAAGAACTGACTTTAAACTTCCTTTTTACAGTTTATACAGTCTTACTGAAGCTGTTTGAAAATTGTTTTTGTAGTGTTTAGTTATACTTATTTCAACCATCAGGTATTACATAAGAGTTAGATATTTCTATGTTTAGTATTATCTTACAAAGCAAACATAGATTTTATTTCTATGCGTTTGGTGCTTTGTTAGGAAGGACAGGAGGTTAAATCCCTTAACGAGTGTTGAGTCAAAAAGTTGGCTGTTTGACAGGACATTTCTGCCGGGCTGAAAGTCGGGGAAGGGACGGAGAATCAGCTGCTGTCAGATGGATTTGGCACACTGCTGTGAAGGAAGACTGGTTGAAGTGCGTTTGGCAGGAGGGGATTTTGTTGTCTGGGAGGTTATAGGAACTGTGAAGCCAATTCCTGAGTGACAAGCTGCTGAGTGAATGAATGTTGCCGTGGAGTTTATTATTTATATAGGCTGGTAGAGATGTGTGGACATTACAGAAAGTCCTGTTCAATTTACTGACCGTAGCTTAATTCTTAGATATACACAACGCCTTATAGATGAATCCTTTCATTTTGAAAGTTTTACATTTTAAACCAAATAATAAAACACCATCATAGTATTTTTTTTCAATATTTCATGTGGTTACTTAGCTAACAAAACACAAATGTTATTATTGTGAAGTGAAAGAAAAATGATTATTTCCTGAGGACAAGAATAAATTCACTTTCCGAATACATCAACAACTTTTTTTATGAAAGCCTGATATTTTATCACGGCAGGTGGACAAATGGTACATTTGCATATTGTTTATTTGCGTTTGGTATTTTGTTATATTTTAACATTTTATTGTTACATCTGTATTAAATACTGACTGAATACAAAAAAAAATATTATAAAACTGATTTATAAGATGTAACAAAAAAGGAACCTATTAGGTTAATGGAGAAAATAAGATGGTGAAAATATGTGAAGCTGTTATTCAATTAAATTCAGTTTATTTCTATAGCACCAATTCACAACACATGTCATCTCAAGGCACTTTCCAGTTCACCAGATCATCCAGTCACATTGATTCAAAGTTTTCTATCTAAGGAAAACCAGCTGATTGCATCGACTCATTGACTCTTCAGCAATCCCTCACACTAAGTGGAGAGGAAAAACTCCCTTTTAACAGGAAGAAACCTCCAGCAGAACCAGGCTCAGTGTGAGCGGCCATCTGCCGAGGCCCACTGGGGTTAAAAGATGCAGAAAAGACACAGAGGCAGAGATACAAAAAGTAACTGTAAAAGGCAGCCCCGTCCAGGAAACACACAGCCAGGCAGACGAGCTCCGAGCCAGCTCCCATGTCAGAGGATGAAGAGAGCACATCCAGCTAGTCACAGTCAGAGAAACAGGACCACACTGGAAAACATGCTAAGCTCCAACATCTAGAAACAAAGGTGTTGATGGCAGCAGCACAGCTGATATTTCTCTCCAGGATGGAGTCACAGCCAAACAGGAACAGACCAGATGAAGCTACTATGAGAAACAGCAGAGAGAGCAGAACGTTAGAGATTGAACTAACAGATTCTGCACTGTGGGCGAATAGAATGATGAAATAGGGGTCCCTATGTCCTCCGGCAGTCTAAGCCTATAGCAGCAGAACTATAGAGATAGCTCAGGATAACCAGAGCCACTCTAACCATAAGCTCTATCAAAAAGGAAAGTTTTAAGCCTAGCCTTAAAAGTAGTATATATTTTCCAATGAAGAGAGATGTAAAACTATCATTGAAAAACAGTTAAACAATTTTGTTTATATGAATCGTAGGCTAACTTTGTTTTTAGTGTTACCAAGCAGTCAGTCCTTAGCCTGACGTAGTCCGACTCAATTCTAGTCAGAATGAGTCTGATGCTGCTCCATAGAGCTGTGATTATGGGGCGTGTTTCGAACGAACCAGGAAAAAAAATGCCTCTGCACTCAATTGGATAGACCTACAACCAATAAGAGCAACGGAGTGCGTGACGTATGTTAAGCCACGCATAGTTGTTGTCAACAAAAATCAAAGCGTGCAGTTGCACGCCTAGAATCAGAAGATGAGCCTTGATGGCGTTTCTCTGTTCCTCTTTTAAAATTAATTTGCTGTCGATATCTTCTAGAACAGACCTAATAGCAGAATCTACTCACCTCAACTCTCCAGCGGCAGCCATTGTTGTTGTCACCCATGCGAGCTTTGGTCACGTGGTTGATTACGTTACTGTTGATCATCTGTCCATCATCGTATAAAGCCCGCCCTGACAATTTCATTGGCCCGCCAGATATTGTGCGAGCATACTCGCGCTAATATTGAGCAATGCCAGACCGAACTTCCCGACCTCAAACGTTGTGGGCGGGACTAAGTTCGGAATGACACCCAGGCTAGTCAGTCCTGGGGCTGCACTTTTAAATTGGTGGTTCTGGTTGCTCCTAGACAATCATCAATTATCAGCTAGAAGAAATGCATTTAATAAAAATACCTTCCAAATCTACCATTCTCACATCCTCCCCCTTCTTAGCTCAGAAGATAAGTTATGCTGCTCCTCCACGCAGCACTGCTAAATGGGCTCTATTTAGTTGATAACTTAAGTAGTTAATCCAAAGCCACCACCTGAAAGGATGTTATCTCCTAACAGGTGAGCGTTTTAACCGACCAGGTAGAGGCGCAGGGGGAGAAAATCAGAGACCTGGAAACCTCTTTGGAGGAGCACCGCCAGAAACTCGCCTCCACTGAGGAGATGCTGCAACAGGTAAAACATTTCAAAAGCACTAATATAGTTTGCAGAGTTTTAACAGTTTTTAAATGGTTGTTTAAATGCTTACAAGATTTTTTCCTATTTATGTTTTATGTTATATTTAAATGAGGGCAGCGGTTGAATTATTGTGGTCCATGGACATGGCTAATGCTTTTGTATTTTCATTTTGTTTTTTATCACTTTTGTTGATTATTATTAAACACCATTTTTTGGTCATTTCAGGCACTTTGATCGTTCAGTGTTCACTGCTGTCTTATTTTTTTAATCCAGTAAAACAGCGTAAAACACACCTGTGATGTGAATTTGTGGTCAGAAAGATGAAGCAGGGGTAGAACTACTGATATCTTTACTTTCATCAGAGTATTTGGGCTGCACACAGCTTAAAGCTGCTCTGTTTACCTGCATACTTTGTCAGGCAGCTGGAGATCACAATCACATCCATCCTGCAAAAGCTTTATCCTGCATGTTTGTGGTTAAAGCAGCGCCTTCTTTTTTGCCGTTATACATGCCCTGCATATACAGCCACGCATACCTCCACTAAATCATACCACAGCTGCAAGTACAGATCTGTTATGATAAACAGAATCACAGCCCTAATGAGCAAGATTCAGCTCTACTGACAACCTGCAGCTTAAAGGCACCAGTTTCTTTTGGCCTCTAACTATATAATGCCAATATTTATATTTCAAAAGACTACCAGTCTTGTTCAGAATGCAGAAAATTGAGCTGGTTGCATGCTGAATAAGAAGTTTCAGGTGTTTGAATTAAAAGTTCTTACCTGATGCATTTAATCAAAAGTCTTCCAGACTCCAACAGGAGAAAAGAGAAGAGACGGAAAAACTGTGTCTGGTTTAAAGTAGAGCCGGTGTTCTGTCAGAACAGCAAAGCTGAGGTTTTTATCTAACCTAAATTAATTCTGACTCACAATATAAACCACAGCCAATGTTTGCTTTGATTTTAAACAAGAAACAAAATTACCCAAATTAAAATTTCTGCGCACAAATTTTTTACTACCAAAGAAACTTATTTTAAATAAATTTTGACTGATATGGTTTTATCTGTAGAGGCTTCTTCTCTTACTATCCTGGAAACTTTAATCATGTCTGGCTATTTCTACATCCAAAATATAACAGTATAATCAAAACTGAGTTTCTTTTATAAAAGTTAAAATAAACTTTCTTTTGCTGAATGTTACACAGCTGCTAAAATTCAATGTGGGGATAATTCTTTGCTGCACATGTGTATTAAAACAACATATGCTGTTCTGACAGAACTCCGGGACTTTAACATGCTAATTTTGATTAATTACTGAATAAAGATTGTGTTGAGAAGAATGACTGCTGTTGGAAAAAACACTAAAATCTTTATACATTTAATCTTTTTTTTTCATATATATATATAACCACATACCAAAGTCCCAAGCGTAAACTTTTGTATTCACCGTTTCTCTTACACCCATAAACCCAACACACAACCAGCATCACGAGTGTTGGTACACAGCTTAAAAACTCAGCAACACAGAACCGAACGTAGCTCCCCAGGTGTTATTTTATAGACGTAACACTCAGGTACGACGCATCATGCGTGTGACTTTGTTTACATTACAACGTCAACCTGCAGTTAGCACAGGGAGTTATACTCGCTATGTTTACTGCCACAGGCAGGCAGTTGGTAATGAATCAAATAAGACTCATGTGTCAGGATGCACAGCTGGAGCCAGCCCACAGCCAAAATAATAACTCCACATCTGGAAAATAAAACAACTATCTGGAAAAATTGGGTTCCAACATGAATAGTTTAAGTAACTGACTTGAGGAAAATAAAGTAGCCTCAGTTTATCAAAAGTCTGTTCTAAATGCACTAAATATTGACTGTTGAAAAGCAAATGTTAGGCTATGCTTTATGCTCTACTGCCATTCTTCTGTTGTCAGTTTAAGAAATTTAACTTTAACTTCTGTTTACAGCAAAGGTTAAACTATTAAAGGTAATAGTGCAAAACCTGTGTCTACATATTTTTTTTACCGTATTCACTAGAAGGAATTGTGCTAAAATGAATGTCCATGTGCTTTTCACACTTTCATAGGAAGAACTTTTTAAAGAATTTGCTTAAAATATCTGGGTTTACCATCAAGCTAAATGATAAAACCTTCAACCGATCTGATGGTTGAATAATGGATTAAACATGATAAACATTTGTGGTGCTTTGTTTCTAAGTTTAACACATAATTTTTATTCAATATAAGGTTTCCAATTAAAATGCAAATAATTGGGATTAATTACAAACCCTGTATTCGGCTCTATTAGAATAAATAACAGTCACGCCACCACTTTCAATGTTTAATTATAAGTGGACACATGATGTTAATGTGTGACAGATTTCCCCACATGTAACGATTCTTTTCACGAGACAGCAGGCATCACTGCTGAGGAAATTTTGCTGCCATGCTATGCGAAAAAAAAAATAAATAAGGCCAGCCTTTTTTTTTTTTTTTAGTATTAATTTCCTGTCTTGTTCTAAATGTACATCTCTAACATGGTAAAATATCTCTAACCGAGTCATTATTCCTGCTGCAGTGTCTTCAATGGGAATTGTAGGTTAAGTTGAAAGCCTTTAATAATGTTTTTATTATTGGTGGATCTAGAAAATTTCACAATAGCAAGGATAAAGGAGGCACAAAATGTCTATTTAGGATGACGGTGCACTTTAGATGCGCAAGTAAATCTCTCATATATAAATAGAATCCTCTGGATATTAAAAAAACACTTTTACACTTTATTTTTTCTTCTAAGAAACAAAGACAAGTTTAGGATATATGCTAACTGAGAAAAACAAATTTTCCACAAAATAAATAAAATAATTAGACAAATTCATGAAAAGTGATGTAATTACCGTAGTGGACTGATCTCAGCCATTACTTTTAGGAGCTCTTGTTGTGCTGGGCTGTAAAAACGTTTCTCAAAGTGATTAAAATCTTTGCTGCACTGGAATCTATCCAGATAATAAATACATATGAGGTGGATCGGTTCAAAAGGCTGGACTGCCTGACTTCCTTTTCTCCATCATCAGTCGACTTTCTCTGATTCTGAGATCTTCTCATCTTCACCAGTTATACTAACTGTTCTAGTTCCAGCTGTCACCCCCTCGATCTTCCCTTAAATCCCTCATATCATCCATCATTTTTGAAGACAATACAAATGTCTCCACTTTATATCTGCATTTTAAAAGCATCACGGCTTGTAAAAGAAAAAAACAGTCCCCTTATTAGAATAGTATATCACTATATTAACCCTGAAATTTTTAATTACTGTCACACTAACAGTCCTTATTACAAATAATATGATGGAAGAAATTTTTTTTTTTTTTTTACAGTATAGTATAACATATAAGAATTATATTGTTGGTATATTAGTGTTAATTTTTACAGGCTGTAAGCGGCTTTTAGACAATGGTGGTATTTGTAAATCCAAGTACTATAATGAGATAAAAGTAGGAGGCAGCTTAGAAGGCAAAGCTCCACAACAAGTGGGCAGCGTCCTCCCTCTGCCCCCCTGTATATCCACTCCTGGTTTTTATTCTGCATTAGATATTGTTTCACGCTTTAAATAGCCTGTAAGGTCATAAAATGACCAAGTATTTTCTATAAAAGATTAGGCTTAAAAAGGTAATTTTATTAGTGTGCTTATAACCATAATAATAATAAAGTTTATTTGTAATGCACTTTGTATTTAAGAAAAATTAGAAAGGGCTACAGGTAAAAGTCATCAAATCAAATTAAAAGCTAAACATCACTGTAAAATACAGATGAATAAATAAGTCAGTGGCATAATTATAAAAGGTTAACAGTCGTAAGTTCTGCTAAAAAGAAATGTCATAGTCAGAGTGAAGCATGGTGGAGAACCTGTATTTATTTATCCTAAGATATTGGTTAATGTTTACATTTTTTTTTTACATAAGTATGATCTATATTTAAAAATCTGAACTGTAAAAGTTCTAAAATTTAAAGTCACTGAAACCAACAGAAACCTGGAGTTATTCCACAGGTTTTCATGGCAAAGGTTTAATATGACTGTAAAAAATAACTTCTTATAGCTAGATCTTGAACGCACACCATCGTAATGGTTCTAATTAAAACCTGCTAAAGAACGAGATGGAAGGTTTCAGCTGGGAGTGATAATTAATAAATTAAGGAGTGGCAGTTTGTTTTATTGCATGTTCTCATTGTCCTTGTCCTCCTTTGACTCATATCCTGAGCTGAAGTCATGAGTATGACACAAACTCAAAGGAGTCTCAAAAGGTCAAAGTTCAACAGTGTTTCCTGGAATGAATTAGGCAAAGTTTACCCTAAAACAAATAAAGACGAAGTGACTTGTCCTTCCTGTAATGCTAACAGTCTGTTTCATCATGTTAGTCAGTCAGGCAGTCTATCATAGATAAATCAAACCAAATATCTCACAAAAATACAATATTATTCAATATCAATAATTATTATTTGTGCAGTGAAACTGATAAAAAATTTAAAAGATTTTTTTCTTGATATATAACTTAAATTAAATATAGATACATATGAGGGATTAATTACACAAAATACCTGTAAGTGGACAAAACTCTGAGCACTATAGCAGCGAAGTTCCTCAAATATGAAGATTTGTACAAATGAAAATAAATCTGGCTCTAGGCATGGCATAAAACAGCACCTCAGCAGCAATGGAGATGAATTTGCTGCTGCTATTAGAAAATGTTTCAGGAAGTGACTTATAAAAGACTCGTAAAAAGCATCAAGACATCCAACATAAAGGTCTCCATGAAGCTCAGTGATCTGAGCACCATATTTGGTCTACAGACCCTGAGCTTTCCCTGGTTTGATTCCCAACATTAGTCTCCTGCATGTTTTCTTTCTCTCTCTGACTCTCTCCTGCTTTTCTTTTAAATGTGCTGGTGATGAAATCCCACTTGTATCACAAACTATAAAAAAAAACATCCAATATAAATATTA